AAAAAAAAAAAAAAAAAAAAAAGAAAAGAAAAGAATAGGGGGAAAAGCAAACCCACACCCTCTGCTCGCTCTTCATTTCTAACACCACCTTCTGTGCCTCTGCTGGGATGCAACAGGAAGGACAGGGTGCCACTGAAGAGGTTTCCTTAACTAAAAACGGAAACAGAATCTAACAAAAACTCTGAATCTACAGTCATTTACAGCAACTATGGGCACAGAAAAACAAATTAAACACACCAGGAAGAAACAACGGACAAAATCCAGAATAGGAGCTGTTCTACAGGAGAATAACCCAGTTTCTTCCAGAAATGAAAGGCCTAACAAAAGGGGTGGGGAAATTCTGAAAAGAATAAAAGGGATTCAGGAGACATAACAACCAAACACAGCTTGTGGCCTTGTTTGGACTCTGCTTTGAACAAATCAGCTGTGAAAAACCATAAACCATCTGCAACCCCAGTGGGGAGACCGACTCAATTTTATTGTTGTGATCATGGTAAGGCCACCATCACTTAGAGATGTAATGAAGTTGGCTGGGCACAGTGGCTCATGCCTGTAATCCTAACACTTTGGGAGGCTAAGATGGGTGGATCATCTGAGGTCAGGAGTTCGAGACCAGCCTGGCCAACGTGGAAAAACCTCGTCTCTACTAAAAATACATTTTAAGAAATTACCTGGGCGTGGTGGCATGCACCTGTAGTCCCAGCTACTCGGGAGGTGAGGCAGGAGAATCACTAGAACCCAGGAGGTAGAGGTTGCCGTGAGCCACGATCGCACCACTGCACTCCAGACCGGGTGACAGAGTAAGACTTCGTCTCAAAAAGAAAAGGTATAATGAAGTGTTTACAGATTAAATGGCATGTTGCCTGAGGTTTGCTTAAAATAATTTAGCAAAGAAGTGAGGAATGGATGAAACAAGATTAGTAAAATGTTGGGAACGATTGAAATGTAAGTGAAGGGCATGTGGGGATCATTAGACTATTCATTTTATTTGAAAACTTTGAGACTGGGCATGGTGGCTCTTGCCTGTGATCCCAGTACTTGGGAGGTGGAAGTGGGAAGGTCACTTAAGCCCAGGAGTTCAAGACCAGCCTGGGCAACATAACAAACCCTGTCTCTACAAAAAAAAAAAAAAAAGAAAAAAGAAAGAAAGAAAGAAAGAAAAATTTTGAATTATGATTGTACCACTGCACTCCAGCCTGAGGACAGAGTGAGATCCCATCTCAAAATAAAATAAAAAGAAAGAAAATTTCCAAAATAAGAATTTTTAAAAATAAGATGCAAATGCAATCTAAGGCATTTGAGAAACAGAAAGAAAATTCTCAAGTCCCGCACAGTCCCACCTGATCCTCTCCACTCATTTGTGTTAACTCCGTGGACTCTGCCTTATACCTGTCATTTCTTTTTCTTCTTTCTTTCCTTCTTTCTTTCTTTTTCTTTCTTTCTTTCCCCTCCCTGCCTTCTTCCTTCCTTCTTTTCCTTCCTTCCTTCCTTCTTTGCTTCTTTCCTTCTTTCTTATTTCTGACAGTCTTGTTCTGTCACCAGGCAACCTCCACCTCCCAGTTTGAAGCGATTCTCCTGTCTCAGCCTCCTGAGTAGCTGGGACTACAGGCACATACCACCATGTCCAGCTAATAGGTTTCACCATGTTGGCAAAGATGGTCTCGATCTCTTGGCCTCATGATCTGCCTGCCTCAGCCTCCCAAAATGCTGGGATTACAAGTGTGAGCCACCGCACCCAGCCTATACCTGTCATTTCTGACAGCTTCAGAGCAACACCTTCTCTTAAGGTCCCAGCCTATGCCCTGTGCTATTATGTGGACCAAAAATACAATACCAATGAGTAGGCTGGGTGCGGTAGCTCACGCCTATAATCCCAGCACTTTGGGAGGCTGAGGCGAGTGGATCATGAGGTCAAAAGATCGAGACAATACCAAGGAATAGACTCTTAAAAAGATTTCACCATATCTACAAATTCTGATTTGTTCACAGGGGCTGTTTGAAGGTTGAGGAGGACTCTTGGCTCAGCAGAAAAATGCACCACAATTGATTAGCAATGTCTGCCATGGGCAAGAGAGTGGGCAAGTGGTGACTGGCTTGACATGCCTGCCATCCTCATGTTAGGCATTACCTAAGAATTGTCAGCCGGATCTCAAAGCCTGGGGAATAATCCTCATAGTGGATGATCTTGGCAAAGATAATTGGGGTGATAAAATTGGCCAGCGTGATCACGATAGACGGTAGATACAATATCAAGAGGTTCTCTCCAAAAACCATCTTGTCAATTTCCTAGGAGGATAACAAAACTCATTAGTCAGGAGTACATAAGGAAGTTGCAACACAAAGAGAACAACAAAAAACTCAACTATGCGTGTTTGGCAAACAAAACATATTTGTCATCCAACATGGCTGGTAAACATAAGTCACCGCCTTCCTTTTTTTTCAATTTTTTTTTTTTTTTGAGATAGAGTCTTGCTCTGTCGCCCAGGCTAAAGTGCAGGGGCATGATCTCGGCTCACTGCAACCTCCGTCTCCCAGATTCATGTGATTCTCCTGCCTCAGCCTCCCGAGTAGCTGGGACTACAGGCACCTGCTATCACACCTGGCTAATTTTTGTATTTTTAGTAGAGATGGGGTTTCACCATGTTGGTCAGGTTAGTCTCAAACTCCTGACCTCAGGTGATCCACCCACCTTGACCTCCCAAAGCGCCAAGATTACAGGCATGAGCCACCGCGCCCAGTTGCCATCTCCTTCTTCAGGTGTTCACAAAGAGGTATCTAGTACTGTGCTGGAAGAAAACCAGGCTCTATTGGATTTATTAAGGGGATGTATAAGAAGACTCATGTATTCTGCATAAATGGGTAATTTAAAGTATATTCAAGGACGTAGAATTGATTGATTTGAAATTAAAGTAGCCATTCGCTGCTTTCACAGTAACAGACTATTTAGCCAATATATAGCTATCCACAATAAAAAGTAAATTTCCTAGCCTCCCTTCTAGCCAGGTACTACCATGTGAGTAAATTCTGGCCAAGGGGATATGAGTGGAAGTTTTTAGCATAACCTCCAGGTCATGCCCTTTAAAGGAAGAAATGTGTTCTCCTTAGCTCCATCTCCTTCTCCTTGGCTGGCCATGGTGGTGAGCTATCTTGCAATATACAGAAAACCATACCCAGCTAGGCTTGGTGGCTCATGCCTGTAATCCCAGCACTTTGGGAGGCTGAGGCTGGTGGATCACTTGAAGCCAGGAGTTCTAGACCAGCCTGGCCAACCAGGCCAGTAGAAACCCTGTCTCTACTAAAAATACAAAAATAAGCCAGGTGTGGGGGCAGGCACCTGTAATCCCAGCTACTTGGGAGGCTGAGGCAGGAAAATTAAACTTGAACCAAGGAGACGGAGGTTGCAGTGAGCAGAGATCGCACCACTGCACTTCATCCTGGGTGACAGGGCAACATTCTGTCTAAAAAAAAAAAGAAAGAAAGAAAAGAAAACTATACCCTAAGGAGCCACAAGATGAATGGAACCTGGGCCCCTGTTGATTGATTTCATGAAGCAGAGCCACTAGACAAACTTGGATTTTTAAAACCACTGCTATTTTAGGTAAACCAAGGCCTTAGTTCATAAGGGATAAAACCCTACTTCAGCCTAGATTTGAATACTGCAAATTCCAGGAGCAGTAAGCATCTCGAACACTATATTGTAGACACCTTTAAAAATTTCTTTTAAGGCCAGGCACAGTAGGATGCCAAGGTGGGTGAATCTCTTGAGGTCAGGAGGTTGAGGCCAGCCTGGCCAATATGGTGAAACCCTGTCTCTACTAAATATACAAAAATTAGCTGGGCGTGGTGGTGCAAGCCTGTAATGCCAGCTACTAGGGAGGCTGAGTCACGAGAATCTCTTAAACCTGGGATGTGGAGGTTGCAGTGAGCTGAGGTTCACACTTCAGACTGAGTGACCGAGTAAGACTGTCTCAACCAAAAAAAAAAAAAAATTGCTTTAAGAGTGGAAACTGATCACCTCTGATTTTCAGTTCTTGATTATATCAGACAAACTTGTATCTCCATATGTAAAATAGAAATGATGATGATATCTACTGTTTTCAATGCACTTAGCATAACGTCCAGCCAGAATACAAGTTAACTTACCTTTTTCATGTGCTCTTGCGAGAAGACAGTTGCTACATATATTGCATAAAAGCATGCCCCTAAAACAGCCAGAACAATACAGTTCAAAAACAGTCTCAAAGAGTAAATGCGTATTGTTTCTTCTGAGGTCCTTTCTGCTATTTTCTGCCGTATTCTTTCTTCCTCCAGATCTGCCTGAAGATAAAAGAAAATTCATTTGTGAGCAGTGGGATGAAGGGATGCTCAGGTATAGAAACTGATTCATCATTCTCTCCCCGTCCATCTTTAAAAGTTCGGCCAGGCATGGTAGCTCACTCTTGTAAGCCCAGCACTGCAGGAGGCCAAGGTAGGAGGATCATGTGAGCCCAGGAGTTCAAACACTGGCAACATAGTGACAGTCTCAACAAAAAAAACAGAAAAATTAGCTGGGCATGGTGATGAGTGCCTGTAGTCCCTGCTACTTGGGAGGCTGAGGAGGAAAGATTACTTGAGCCTGGGATTTTGAGTCAGCAGTGATCTACGATCACGTCACTCTACTCCTGCCTGGGCAACAGAGTGAAATGCTATCTCAGAAAAACAAACAAACGAAAAAGACTTCCTTTAAATATTCATCTCCCCTAAGATACCATCCTAGAGTTCAACTACTTTTTATGTCTACTAAAGGCATAAGTAAAGGTAGAATCTCCTTTTTATTTTATTTTATTTTTGACAGAATCTCACTCTGTTGCTCTGGCTGCAGTGCAGTGGTGAGCTCTCGGGTTCAAGCAGAGAGCCTCAGCATCCCGCAGCTGGGATTACAGGCATGCCACCATGCCCAGTTAATTTTTGTATTTTTAGTAGAGATGAGGTTTCGCCATGTTGGCCACTGGTCTTGAACTCCTGACCTCAGGTGATCCACCAGCCTCAGCCCCCCAAAGTGCTGGGATTACAGGCATGAGCCACTGTGCCCAACCAAACCTCCTATTTAAGACTGCAATTTGCCGGGCATGGTGGCTCACGCCTGTAATCCCAGCACTTTGGAGGCCAAGGCAGGCGGATCACCTGAGGTCAGGAGTTCAAAACCAGCCTGACCAACATNAAAAAAAAAAAAAAAAAAAAAAAAAAAAAAGGCTGCAATTGGACTTTGGAATGAATGTGGAAACAGAACTATAAACTATTCATATTACTTAAATATAGTATGTGTCATTTCTTCAAACAGCATATAGATGAGGTGGTGTTATTTTTTCTTTTACCCAATCTAGTAGTCTCTGCTTTTATTAGGAGAATTTAATCTGTTCATATTTAGTGTAAGAAAGAATAGATTTGATTTTATTCCTTCCACTTTATTATGCTTCCATTTGTCCCCTCCTCCTTTTCTTTGATGGGTTTATTAACATGCTATTCTTTACTTCTTTCTTGCATTCATTTGGAAACTCTCTTGTGCTTTTTCATATACTCTCCATCCCACCCTATTGTCAGAATGTTCCCTCCTTAGTCCCATTTCTCCTGATATAAGCAAATGTTTATGACAGGTCCTCATCAGGTGGAAAAATAACAATGTAAAGTAGCAGGGTGTGGGGAAAGACATCATCTCCTTGCAGCCACTGCCTCCTCACCCCACTTCCCTATCCTAGTTCACCAGTGCTCCTGTTCAAGTCTAGGGTAATCAACCCCAGTAATGTGTTCGCTGTGAAAAGTTCTTGAAAACTATACAGAAGTAACTTGATAAGCACCAGGGACCACCTGGCCCCCATCCTAGATCCTCTGCAAGCTGAAAACTCAAGCTCCCAAGGCAGGACCTTGCCGGTGAGGACCCTACTATGGGAAAACCCAGGAGCACTCACTCGGAGCTCGTACCACAAGCTGCTGTGCTTCAGATCCGCCATGCTGCGGTTAGTGATGCAGAAGTCCCAGCCAGCAAAGATCTTGTTGCAGTAACTCTGAAAGTGCTCCTCACTCCGAATCAGGTTGATTTTGAATCCTTCCACCGACCTGACCGCAAAACACAATCATCCTTCTTTTAGGAACAACAGCAAAAAAGAGGCCCCTGAAGTGACTTTGTCTGAAACTTAAAAAGTTAGACATAGCTGCATTTTTAGCCCACTGTCACATGGTCAAGTTTGGGGCCATTCTACATATATGTGGCAGCTAACAGGGTATCTCATTGTTGAAAGTCCTTTCCTTTTACCCATCTAATGGCTTCAATCACAGCTAGAATAAAATCCAAACCCTTTTGCCCAACTGTTTTTTTTTTTTGAGATGGAGTCTCACCCTGTCGCCCAGGCTGGACTGCAGTGGTGCGATCTTGGCTCACTGCAACCTCCGCCTCCTGGGTTCAAATGATTCTCCTGCCTCAACCTCCCAAGTAGCTGGGATTATAGGCTCTTGCCACCATAACCAGTTAATTTTTGTATTTTTAGTAGAGACAGGGTTTCACCATGTTGGCCAGGCTGGTCTTGAACTCCTGACCTCAGGTGATCTGCCCACCTTGGCGTCCCAAAGTACTGGCATTACAGGCATAAGCCACTGTGCCCAGCCAGCCTCAACCTTTATTTTAGATTCAGGAGTACATGTGCAGGTTTGTGACCTTGGTAATATTACATGATGCTGAGGTTTTGGGTACAAATGATCCCATCATCCAGGTACTGAGCACAGTACCCAATAGTCCTTCAATCCTTGCCTCCCTCCCTCCCTCTGCACTCTAGGAGTCCTCAGTTTCTTTTGTTGCCATCTTTATGTCCATAAGTACCCAACGTTTAGCTCCCACTAATAAGTGAGAACATGCTGTTCTGTTCTTGCATTAATTTGCTTTGGATAATGGCCTCTAGCTGCATCCATGTTGCTGCAAAGGACATGATTTCATTTCTTTTTTTATGGCTGTGTAGTATTCCATGGTGTATGTGCACCACATTTTCTTTATCCAATCCTCTGTTGATGAGCACCTACGTTGATTCCATGTCTTTGCTACTGTGAATAGCACTGTGATGAACATACGAATGCATGTGTCTTTTTGGTAGAATGATTCATTTTCTTTTAAAATCCAAACTCCTTAATACAGCCTAGAGATCCTATATGATCCAGTTCTGCCGTCTCTCCTCCCATGTAACTATACCGGCTTTCTCTTCTTTCCATAAATACACAAATTCCTGTTCCTGCCTCTGGGCCTCTGCACTTGGGAATTTCCACTACCATCTCCGGGGATGCTGCTTCTCTGTCTCTCCCTATGACTGGTCCTTCCATCCTTTGGGTTTTGGCTCAAATAACCCCTTTATGATCCCTCACCTTCCCTTCTAAGGCTGTCACCCCCACTTCAAGTCAGTCCCTTTTATTTAATTCACAGCAATGACACAACCTGCAATTATCTTATTCATCTGTTTACTGCTTGTAGCTCCTTACTGTAACTAAATTTTAAATTCCTCGAGAGAAGTTACCCTGGGTATCTTGCCACCTTTATGTCCATAATGCATGGACTATATCTATGGTTAATACGCAACTGATGGATAAATCAATGACTATATGACTTAAATAGTATATTAACTATTTAGGGCTGGGCGCAGTGGCTCACACCCATAATCCCAGGACTTTGGGAGGCTGAGGCAGACAGATCACCTGAGGTCAGGGGTTCAAGACCAGCCTAGCCAACATGATAAAACCTCATCTCTACAAAAATACAAAAGTTAGCTGGGCATGATAGCAGGTGCCTGTAATCCCAGCTACCTGGGAGGCTGAGGTTGGAGAATCGCTTGAACTTGGGAGGCAGAGGTTGTAATGAGCCAAAATCATGCCACTGCCCTCCAGCCTGGGTGACAAGAGTGAAACTCTGTCTCAAAATAAAAAACAAAACCAAAAAACACTATTTAGTGAGCACCTGTTTAGGGCAGATACAATTCTGTTGCACATTTTTTATTCATTCAAATGCTTTCATGGAAAAAATATACCCTGGCACTTGATAGTATAAAATACCAGATGCTATCCGCAGTCCTCTGTAGATAAAACAGGTTATTTTTAGGACTTGCTAGTGAGGCACGAAGACAATAGAAGTGGAAGGAATTGATCAGGCGTGGTGGCTTATGCCTCTAATCACAGAACTTTGGGAGGCCGAAGCGGGTGGATCACGAGGTCAAGAGATGGAGACCATCCTGGCCAACATGGTGAAACCCCATCTCTACTAAAAATACAAATAAAATTAGCTGGGCATGGTGGTGGGTACCTGGAGTCCCAGCTACTTGGGAGACTGAGGCAGGAGAATCGCTTGAACCTGGTAGGCAGAGGTTGCAGTGAGCCGAAATCACGCCACTGCACTCCAGCCTGGCGATATATCGAGACCCCCATCTCGAAAAAAAAAGAAAAGTAGAAAAGTAGTGGGTTCCCACATGGTTTCTTACCTCAGATTTTCAATTCATAGGTCTCATGTGGGGTCCAGAAATAGGCCATGTTACTAGACCAGACCTACATTTTATTTTATTTTATGCGTGTGTGTGTGTGTGTGTGTGTGTGTGTGTGTGTGTGTGTGTATATATTTTTTTTTTTTAGATGAAGTCTCACTGTGTCACCCAGGCTAGAGTGTGGCAGCGTCACTGTGGCTCACTGCATCCTCCACCTCCCCAGGCTCAGGTGATCCTCCCACCTCAGCCTCCCACACAGCTCAAACCTACAAGCACACGCTACCACACCTAGCTAATTATTTGTATTTTTTGTAGAAATAGGGTTTTGCCATGTTGCCCAAGGCTGGTCTTGAACTCCTGGGCTCAAGCAATCTGCCCACCTTGGCCTTCCAAAGTGCTAGGATCATAGGTATGAGCCATTGTACTCGACCCAGACCTACATTTAACAGGTGAGAAAACTAGATCAGAGGAAGAAAAATTATTTCACTATAACCAGAGAGTTAGGTAGCAGAATTGTTGCTACTTTGATGATAATGATGATGATGATAATTTTAATGTAATAAATGTCTATAAAGTGCTGGGCACCATGCTAAGGTCTTCATTCACCTGCCTAGCTTATGTTAATCCTCCCAACAACATTTCCAGGTATGCACATTTCACAGACGGAGAAAATGAGGCTCAAAGAGGCGAACTGACATTCTAACCATGGTCTCTGGCCTACAAAGTCCATACTCTTTGTCACTCTGTGGCACTTCCACTGCCTGGGCCACAGCCAGCCCTTCTTCTGTTATATCACACCCAGCCCTCCCTCCACCACCTTCCCCAGAAAGCATCAAGGCCTTGAACTTGAGCAAGATTCACAGGTGGATTCACTGTGCAACTAACAAACCTTATTCGTTCAGCCAGGTGTGGTGGCTCATTTCTGTAATCCCAACACTTTGAGAGGCTGAGGTGGGTGAATCATGAGGTCAGGAGTTCCAGCTCAGCCTGGCCAACATGGTGAAATCCCATCTCTACTAAAAACACAAAAATTAGCCAGGTGTGGTGGCGTGTACCTGTAATCCCAGCCACTTGGGAGGCTGAGGCAGGAGAATTGCTTGAATCCAGAAGGCAGAGGTTGCAATAAGCTGAGATTGCATCACTGCACTCCAGCCTGGGTGACAGAGTAAGACTCCGTCTCTAACAACAACAGCACCACAAATAAGCTTATTCATTCGTCAGGGCCCCTTCCAAGGCTCTGGAAGACTCTAGCAATGTGTTCCTATGGTTTTATTTGTTTGTTTTTGTCACTTACAAAATAAACATATTACTAATACTCTTTGTCTTAAAGATGGCGCCTCCAAATTGTCTAACCTGTAGGTCCATAAAACTTGGATCTGCCTGGCATGATCATAGAACCCCAACCAACCAATATTTCTTTACCAAGCATCTCTCTGCCTCTCAAAAGGAGGCTGGGGCTTCTTTTCATTTGTACATGGTCCATTTGGGTGGGGGATGGATGCTCACCAGTTCACATTCATCTCATAGATTCTGAGGATACAAGTGCCCGTTGGGCACTTGGGGTTTTCTTTGCAGTGGTGAATCCTGGTCCTTACGGAAGGCCAAATCAATCCGCAGCACCCTGGTCTCTTCTGCACCTGTGATAAGGAGCTTTTCAGCTCCATGGCTTACAACACTGTGCATACTCTCACAGGGACAATCAAGTGGGCAAGAAAGGGGCCCACCCATGAAAGTGTCTGCCAAGGAACCCCCTGAGGCAGAGATGAAAAGCTGTCCATCAAAAATTTGTGGTTCACCATCTGTAGTACAGTGTCACTGCTGGGTAATGGCTACCCAGCCAGGAACAATGTTTCCCAGCCTCCCTTGCAGTTAGCTATGGTCATGTGACTGAGCTGTAGCCAATGGGATATGAGTGATGTGCACCAGGTTCAGGTCTGGCCTATAAATACCCTCGGAATGGTTCTCCTCCATGCCTTTTCCTTTCCCATCCCTCAGCAGGACCTTCAAAGCCACATGCTAAAGATGGCTGAATTTTGGTCAACTTGAGTCCTAGAATACTATAAGAAGGATTCTACTACACAAACCTGTGCCTCTACCCAGAACTGTCATGTAAAAGAGAAATACAAGGGTTTGTTTGTTTGTTTGTTTGTTTGTTTTGAGACAGTCTTGCTCTGTCGCCCAGGCTATAGAGTGCAGTGGTGCAATTTTGGCTCACTGCAACCTCGGCTCACTGCAACCTCTGCCTCCCGGGTTCAAGTGATTCTCTTGTCTCAGCCTCCCAAGTAGCTGGGAGTACAGGTTTGCGCCACCACACCCAGGTAATAAAAAGAAATAAAATTTATATTGTATTTGGGTCATTGTACCTTTTGAAACAATGTTTGTTAAGGGAATTAATACTTTTTTTTTTTTAATGGAGTCTCACTCTATCACCAGGCTGGAGTACAGTGGCACGATCCCAGTTCACTGCAACCTCCACTACCCAGGTTCAAGCAATTCTCCTGCCTCAGCCTCCCCAAGTAGTTGGGACTACATGTGTGCGCCACCATGGTCAGCTAATTTTTATATTTTTAGTAGAGACGGGCTTTCACCATGTTGGCCAGGATGGTCTCGATATCTTGACCAAGTGAGCTGCCCACTTCGGCTTCCCACAGTGCTGGGATTAGAGGCATGAACCACCACACCTGGCCAATATTCCTCTCGTTTCTTGGGAATTGCTCTCTCTCCCTAAACCACTTGTCTCCCATAGAAAAAGCCATGTTGCCATTTGACCCTCACCCCCGGCCACAGCTGAAGGAGCATAGTGCTGAGCACTTGAACCACCAGAGGCTCATTACAGACCCACTGCTCCCCACAGCCATGGTCGGTGGAAGGGTCAGGGCTGGGAGCCTGAATGAAATGGACACAAGTCTCTTCCTAGGATTTTCGTACCTGTGACGCAGGAGGTCAAGGCTGATGCAAACTATAAGATGCCCTATTCTGAGGTGGAGGTTGAGTCAAGATGGTGTCACTGCACTCCAGCCTGGGCAACAAAAGTGAAACTCCATCTCAAAAAAGAAAAAAAAAAAAGATGCCCTATTTCCCACCACTTAAGAAAGCTACCACCACATTGAAGAACTGAAGACAAAGGACTCTTGCTTTTGATGTTGTTCCTAAGCCATGGCTCCATCTTTGGCCTTCTGGGAATTTGAGTTTCCTCCCTTCCTTGGATCTGTGAGCCACTCAATAACCCTCAGAGTTAGGTTTCTGCTATTTACAACCCAATAGAGACCTAGTTAACATACACAGCGAAGCAAAGTTACAGTGTGTGTGCAGTGGAGTGTTATTGCCAGATGTGTTCAGTAATGATTCAGTAAAGAACCCCAGGCCAGGCTGGGCGTGGCGGCTCACGCCTGTAATATCAGCACTTTGAGAGGCCAAGGTGGGCAGATCACCTGAGGTCAGGAGTTCAAGACCAGCCTGGCCAACATGGTGAAACCCTGTTTTTATTTTTTAAAAAAAAGAAAAAGAGAAAAAGAACCCCAGGCAAGGCGCGGTAGCTGGCACCTGTAATCCCAGCACTTTGGCCAGAGTGGGTGGATCACCTGAGGTCAAGAGCTGGAGACCAGCCTGGCCAACATGGTGAAACCCCATCTCTATCAAAAATACAAAAATGAGCCAGGCGTGGTGGCATGTGCCTTTAGTCCTAGCTGCCCAGGAGGCTGAGGCACAAGAATCACTTGAACCTGGGAGGCGGAGGTTGCAGTGAGCCAAGATCCCGCCATTACACTGCAGTCTGGGTGACAGAGAAAGACTGTGTCTTTAAAAAAAAAAAAAAAAAAGAACCTCAGGCTGCTACTCCATCCCAAATCCTGACTTTAATTTCTCCCACGGCTCTCCAGCTACCAACGTACTCACAAATCTTTCCCCGCAAAACCATCCCCTGGACTCCTTTAGGCAATGGCCCCCAGAGTTCCCATATCTCCAATAGCCTCCAGCCATCAAGGGTAATTCAGAGAGAATGAAAGGACAGACTTTACCTTTTCACTATCCAAAGAAGGCTCAGGGCCAGGTAGGCGATTGTACTTAACAAATATGCCAGGGGCAGATCATAAGTGAAGTTCTGAAATTTCATCCCATCGATGGAGTAATGTCCATAAAAGAGGCTAGTCTCCTCCAGGAAACCCTGAAACAAAGCCAAGTGCATAGGTCAGACTGGTCAGCTTATTGCAGGGAGCCAGAAGAGTAGGCCCTGCCTCAAGAAACAGAAATTCCAGTGTCCCCTTTCCTCTCTATATCCCCAGAGACTGGAACAGCCCCAGGGGCACAGGGAGTACTCAGTGTTTGGGAAATAAAGCACTGATAAAACCTTGGCATTGAAAATGCACAGGTGGCCAGGCATGGTGGCTCATGCCTGTAATCCCAGCACCTTGGAAGGCCAAGGTGGGAGGTCTACTTGAGCCCAGGAGTTTGAGACAAGCCTGAGCAACATAGGGAGGCCCCGACTGCTACAAAAAAAAATTTTTTTTAATTAGCTAAGCATAGAGGTGCATGGCTGTGCTCCCAGCTGCTCAGGAGGCTGGAGTAAGCCCTGATTGTGCTACTGTACTCTAGATTGGGTGACAGGGCAAGACCCTGTCTCTAAAAGAAAAAGAAAAGCACATATAACAACCCAAAACTAAAATTAAGAATAAAATTCCATGTGCCATAGCATCGAAAAGAATAAAACATGGTCGGACGTGGTGGCGCATGCCTGTAATCCCAGCACTTTGGGAGGCCGAGGTGGGAGGATCACGAAGTCAAGAGATCGAGATCATCCTGGCCAACATGGT